AAAATTAAATTTAATAAAGTCTATGTAAAACAATGCGGCCCCAAATTTAAAGCCAGCATTATAAAGTATAGAAAACTTCTAATAATAAAAAGGCATTAAATTGGCAAAATAAGACAATTTGTGGAATATTATAAATTAAAACAGTTTACACTTAAGTTTTATTTAATATAAATTAAATATTAAACAGCTTATTTGTATTTTATACTTCCAAAGCAAAGGAGAATTATATTAAGTATTAAGAAGCATATGAGAATATTAATATTAATTTGTGTGCATAAGGTATGTGATCGATTCCCAATAATATATATTTTTAATATTATTTATGAAAGTAAATCAATGCTCTATTTTATTGTTAGAGCATTGAACTATAACTATCAGTATAGATAGTTCCTGAAGTCCAATCTAAAAAGTCGGATATTTGAAATCGAATAGGGTTACATTATTTAGATTTTTTAATTGTTAAAAATATATTTAAAAAAAAATAAATTTTTTTATTTCCTAAAATTAGATGTAATTTATTGAGAGAGTTTCGAAGAGGGTTTAAAAAAATAATTTCTTTGTCATTATATAAGAAAGCGTAGCTTTATCGGCAAAATAAATTAAACTTTGTAATTTATTTATTTATTATAATGAATTACAAAATATAAAATCTTATAACTGAAATAAAAAAAAAGGAATATTAACTGTTAATACTTTTAGCTTGGATATTATAACAATTTTATTAACTATAATATATATACCTATATACCTATTTTTTATCTAATTTGTCCTACTCGAAATTCCGGTTAAATACCAACATTCGCTGCCGTACCGACATAAGTTACTATTTCCCTCAATTTGCCATCAATTTACTCGAGCTTACACTCGGCCTTAAAAAAATATTATTTTAAATAGAATTAAAAGTGGCAAATCTGTTAAGTATATAGTCTGGGGATGGTGAGCTATTAGAAAACGGACAGTTAAATGACTGATTGCCAACAAAAAGGTACTCTTGAGAAAGCTTTGTAAGTTTGTATATATTCAATCAAATAAAAATTTAACATTGTTGACATGATTGTGGGTAAATTGATGTTGTTAATATTATTGTGGAAAAGCCTGACGTACTTGAAAAAATTATATTATTCGGTAATAGAGCGCGTTATATGACGTTTACAGTGGCCGAAAATGACTCATTTCAAATGAGCCATTTAAAAGTGTACATTCGTTGTATTCATTTGTTCTTTTCAAACTGATTTTACTTGCCTGTTGATTTGATTTTTGGAATATGCCAAATAAATTTAGATGAAAGTTAAATACCTTCAAACTTACAAATACTGCAAACTTATTTTAGCTTGATTAATATATTTTTGGGAAATGACTTTTTTTGTAAATATGTCAAGAAACAGCTTTCTCAAACTGTCAAAATGCCATGAAAAGATTTTATGTTCAATATAAAAGATAAAGATATAATAGATAAGTTAAAGATAAAGATATGTATGTTCAATATATTCATTTGCATTTGGAACATATTTGGAACTCATTCTAATCTCGTTGGAACTCATTTGTGCAGAATGAGATCTAATGGACCTCATTGTATGCAAAAATGAGTTATTTGCTTCTCATTTTTGATTTTTGACCAAATTAAGCCATTTGCGGCCAGTGTAAATGCCATATTACTCGAGTTTGTGAATATCACTAATAATATTTAATGTCTACTTATTAGTAGAATTAGTAGATGTTAGTAATCAAGTAATCGGCACTAAGTTTATAGATGCTGTAGGCGATTTATTTTCATTATGACAATAATGAATGTAACAGTCTTCATTTTTATTAAAA